GCATTCCATATGCTTTTATAGCCTTTGCTGCGTCGGCCAGTATTGATGCTCTTCTCCTTAAAAAGTATTCGTTTTTTCTTCTATTTAAAGAACATGATTGGACGTTTGCTATTAATTTTTTATACTCTTGGCCCACATTGGCGCCCGAGCGTTTCCGGAAAAAGGGTTGTTAATCCCCCCATATTTGTGACAGAAAACGAGTCAGACTCGCGATAGCTCCGATGGGATATGCTATCTATCCTCCTGCAACTCATTAGGCAAATCCGTAGCATTCCCTTTACAGATTCATGTGCAAAGCAGGCTAATAACACAAAACTACACTGCTTTAATATAGTCAACCGGCAAAAACTGTGGATAATGACATATGTACTATGTACTCATTTATCAAGTACTAGTCTCAGCGCAGTTTACCAACAAAACCGATGTGTACCGAAAAAGAATCGAATAGCTGCATGACCTTGAAAAAGCAATGCGGAACTTTTTTACTAGCAGAGAGAACCGCAAAAAGCCGTACATTCATAAGCTACTTATGTTTGACATAGAAAAATTTAGATGGCATTGCAAGCGTAAGTAACATGCTTCTTTTGTTACGTGCACTATAGGGACAATGTAGCTATGGAACCATGAGGTACGAAGTTCAGTGATGAAGCTGTTTTGCAATTTACGATTCACTTCTTCTTTTTCAAAAAAAGCCTACATTCTCTTTTTGCTCATACGCTATACATTATTCGAACATTGCCAAACGAGGCGACCAGCATTTCTCGATTTGTCAGTAAAAAAACATTGACTTGGACACGGCAGTAAACCATCTTTCGGAAACGAATTGAGAAGTGTACGACGAAGACGACGATAACATAGACGAAAGCAGTAGAACTAATGCAATGGTAAGGGGACTCCAGCGATGGATTAGATTGCACCAGAGGACTGGAAAGGAAAGAATGAGAAACATAACTTGTTAATTCTTTTTGCAGTATCTGTTAAGATTTGTAAGATGTTGCTGCTATAGAGTTGTAAGAAAGCTCGACTGTCATCTCACTGACTGTTTAAACGCTGGTTACAACTGTAAACTTGTTCTTCTACCATAGCAGATTGACTCACATTGAAGTGCTTCTGCCCGAATTTGCATAAAGTCAGCCAGCTCATCTACCAGTAATTTCAAAT